TCACTAATATTAAAGCTTGAATTACATTTTGTTGTCTACTAAACTTCTATAGTTATATAATAAAAACCTAAACTATTAGATGAGTTGGTGAATAAACAATTTATCAGAATTCTCCCGTTCCTGGTTTTAGCGCAACTGTGTTGCACAGCTACCTTATTAATTAAATAAAATAAGTAAAATCTTTTTAATAATAAAGTAACTTTTTTATTTATAATTAATTAGATGTTAGCTATGAAATTTTCACCAACCAAAATTGGGACAGCAAGTACTTCTCGAAGTGGATTGTTACAACAACGATTTTTATCAGACAACACTAATGTATCTAAAATATTTCACCTGATATTATATCAATTATAGAAGATTCTCATTTTTAGATTCAATTATATGAGCTTTAAAATTTATTATTTCTGTTATGCAGTATTTTAAATAAGCTTCAAAAGGACATTGTGAGACTTTTTGAAATCATGCATTGTTTTGGATGAATTATTAAGATTTTTGATGATTATAATGATAGCTCTTTTTCTGATCATATAGTAACCCGATTAGAGAATCGGTGGGCGCAGTGTGAACAACCCTTACTTCTTTTGTCATTTGTTTTACATCCAAAATATAGGCTCTCTAAATTTTCTTCTAACGTTTTGGGTCTCTCTTATTTACATTTTAGTTAATGGTTAAACTACTATTACTTTGCATGGTTTAACAAACCACCAACTCATATTTTGCGTGAATTCTTATTATATCAAAGAGAGGAATTTCTTTTTAATAAGGCAACATATGATCAATTTAAAAGAAATATTATAGATTTTTGGGAGTCAGCAGAAGGATTAACACCAGAATTATCTAAATTGGCACTACAACTATTTGGCATTTGTGTCAATGCTGCCTCAGTCGAACGTTTATGGTCGTTTATGAGTTTTTTACATACAAAACGTCGAAATCGCTTACTAGTATGTACTTTATTTGATTTTTATAATTTTTTATTACTAGTTATGCTTATTTATTTTAGCATAATAAGGTATTGGCTATGAGCCAATTACGCAGTAATATATTAAACAAGAGAAAACGTAGTGAAGTTGAAAAGGCTGAGTATCAATATAAACAAATCCGTATTATTACTCCTATTCAATCTTATAATAAAGATACAACGCAAGTGGAATTGTCAAAATCTTTATTACCTATAAGTAATAATGAAGAAAACAGTCCATCAGCTTCTTATAATTCATCAGCTCAATTAAGCGAAACTGTTGAAATAAATGAAAATGATGTAGATGATATAGACGATACTGATGATATTGAAGAAAATTGGACACATACAGTTGAATATTTGATTAGTTCATTGGATAATGAGGATCGCTTAAATAATGGTGAAGTTGTAGATAGCGAACCTCTTGAATTTGATTTGTATAGACGTATTACTCATCCAGTAGATGATTCATTAGCAAAATGGAGTTTATTAGAATTATTCAATGATATATTAGAAGCTCCTGTTTCTTTTGTCCATTAGTAATCTGCTGAAATTTAATAATTGCAATTTTTGAGTTAGCACAATGCAGAAGATATTATAATAGAAATGTAAAGTCAAACTAATATAACACTGAAGGCATAGCATTAAACATGTGATCCTCAAAAAACGGCTTATGGATTGACAGATAAAAATAAAATTGATTGTATCAAAGCATTTCAACTTAAAGCTATTAAATAAAAATTGAAATATTTTAGTGATTAGCGAATTTGGATTTATAATTCAAATGATAAGTTGAATTGTTTGTTAAGTTTAAATTAAATAATAGTAATTTGTACTTAGAAGCTTTAAATGATATTTAGATCCAGATAAATTAATACAAACCAATCAAACCAAGCTCATACAACAAACAATAGGCTAGAGCGAAGCATAATTTTTTTACAGTTTAACATCTAACAACTTTATTTTTAGAATAGAGGTTCTTTTGACACCCGCACTATCAACAACCTAAAATAGCAAAAAGAAATTTTCAGTTTAATAATTATTGTTTAGGTATTAAAGTTATTTTTATTTTTTTTACATATGTTTTTATTGCTGATTTAATTTTTTTTATTTCGCACTTAGATTTTCTACATTTCCTTCAGATTTGATTTCTTTCTCGAAGACATTTAGTTTTGTAAGTAGACTTTATTTTATTTTTTATTTTTGCTTCCTGTCATTTATCTCATTACTTTTGCAATACAAATTCTAGAGTTGGATTATGTGTATTTTATATATTCATTGTATTATTGGGTTGATCTCCATTTCTGAAATCAAAACTATGAACTTTAGACAACGATTTTCACACTGCTTAATAATATTTGATTATATAATCACCGTTTAAAGTTTGCGATGTTACAATTTTTTTATTTCTAAAATTTTTTTATTTTTAACATAGTAGTTATATACAAACAAAATACTAACAAAATACAAAATAACGTTTACACTTTGTAAGTAATATCAAGAGCGAAATACATATATTTTAAATATTTTATACGATTTTATTAATATAGTTGTAATCAAGGATATATATGTTACATAGCATGCTTATGCATGAGATTATATTACGCAATTTTATATGGAACATGTGATAAAAGTTAATTTTAATAAAATTTCTTATTTATTTATTTATCTTGTGAATTACATCTTATATAATTATAAAAAATTAGTTTTCTAGTACTTAATTTTGATTGGCTAAAAGTATTAGATTATTAGTAAACAAATGTCAAATGACTTTCTAAATCATTTAAAGCCCTGAAATAACTAATGAATAGTCACTATTTATTTGAGTCATGTAGGTCATTTCAGGTCATTTACCATCACTGTCTTCACTGGCAGTGACCATGGAGTGGTACTTGCAAAAATAGAATTAGGACATTTGATATCCTCAGTTAGCTATACAGAACTCAAAAGAGAAAATTTTAGTAGATCAGTTTTTCTATATGATGAGGCAACAAAAGAAGACTAAGACAATTATAGAATAGAAGTAGAAAGAATTCTTAGAAATAGGGGAAATTTAATACAAGACCTTTCAAATTGTAATCATTTCTCAGAAAAAGAAACACAGAACTTGCTAGATGAAGTATAGGACTTAATTAGTAAAAGCATACTAGTAGCAGCTCAAAAGATGCTTTCTAAAAAGAAAATTCCAAATATTCTAGCAACTAAACTAAAGCGAAAAAAGAAATCCAGACTATCACAACTTACAGTCCATTTGGGTAGATGGATAAGCCTGGGTAGAAAGAATCTCAAACTACAGTATATAACTGAAGATATTCAAGAGTTTAATGAACAGATTAAATACATCAATTTCTGTTGTGGAACTTATATAGAGGAGATTCAGAATTGTTGGACACAAGAAGTAATCGATGACCTAAAGGGTTGGTGGAAAATTCTCAATAAAAGAAGAATGGAAGAACTTGAGAGAATTAGAAAAGATGAAATAAATAGAAATATTGAACGAAGATGTCAAATGATAGATAAACAATAAGGAAAGATGTTAACAAGCTTACTCGATAAACCAATCAGAAAAATCAACATAGACAGACTACTTGAAAAAAACAATCTTACAAGAAGGCTGATTACTAATTCAGAAGAAGTATTGGAGAGTACAAGTAGACATTTCCAAAATCAATTTAGAGCAAAAAACTTTCAAGAAGAATTAATAGATAATAAATGGACTAAAGAATACAGCTCTATAAAAGAAATACAAGAGGCCTGGTACTATAGTTTAAATGAAAGCATTACAGAAATAGAATGGTTTGAGATGCTAACAGACTTGAAAAAGAATACAGCACCAGGTATCTTAGGTATAACATATATACTAATTAAAGCAGCAAGTGAGCGAGCGCAAGAGGTTTTTAGAAATATTGCAAGCATATGCATAAAACAGAAATGGTCCCGAAAAAGTGGAAATTGTCTCAGATATATCCAATTTCAAAAGAAGAAGATTGGCACTACAATTTGAATAATGTCAGACCAATTGCATTATTAGTAATATTCTGCAAGTATATGACTAAAGTGCTTACCAAGTGACTTGCTAGAGTTCTTCTAGAAAGGAATATACTAAAGGGTATGAATTTTGCCGTTCTTCCAAGTAATTCTACAGAAAAGCCAGTACATATTCTAAATACAATTATGGAGAATGCAAAAGAAAATAGTAAAGAATTGTGGATTGTATTTCAAGATATGAAAAAGGCTTTCGATTCAGTATCACTAAAAGCTTTACGAAAAGCGATAAAAAGAATCAAGCTGCCTAAAATAACGATTAGACTTATACTTAATCTTTTTGAAAATAGACAATCCAGAATTATCACAGGTCTAGGTCCAACAAACTTCTTTGAAATACAAGAAGGGATAGAGTAAGGTGAAGTAATTTCACTTTTAGTGTGAAGAATTTTTTATGATCCGCTTCTGAAGAGAATTCAAAGAGATGCTGAGTTAGGATATACAGTAACTCACAAAATACCATTAGATCCAAACTCAAATTCAGTAATTAACAATACTTGAAGACAAGCAGTAATAGCTTTTGCAGATGATACGACGTGGATAGCAGAGAACAGGGAGCAGATGGAAAAAATACTTTCAATTGCAGAAGAATTCTTCAGAATAAACGATATTCAAATTAATAGAAAAAAAACTAAGCTAATCACAATGAATTCAAAAAAAACCAAGAAAGAAAAGAAAGTGTTCTTTGGAAAAGAATAGATATATGAGGAAAGTGGAAACAAAATAACAAGATTTCTTGGAATTTGGTTAAATAATAAGATGAAAGAAAAGGCAATTAAAGCCAAGACAAAAGAAATCGTACGATCAATATTTAGAGGTCTTATCACCAAAAAAATGATGATCAGTTAAGTGTCCTATATAAACAACATGTATATAATTCCTAAATTATATTACATGTTGCAGGTCACAAAGATGCCTAAGAAAATAATCGACAATATACATAGCAAAAAACAAGATAGAGATTGCACGTACGACAAGAACAAGCATAGTACACCATAGAAGCTTAAATAATTGCTTTCTTCTGTAGAACCAGCTGTTACTTAAACAAATCACAAGCCTTCATAATCGTCTCAACTCAACTGGTCCAAAGAAAATATTAACAAAAATAAGAATTAAAGAAGGACTTATTCTTGTTGGTGCTTCAGAAAATAACTGGCATAAAGAGACCTTAGAAATATACTTAAAAATTTGGAAAAACAATTTAGTATATTTAACAATGTTAAGAGCAAAGGAACTAAATCTTGCTTTTAACTTTAGCAGTATCAACCTTCCAGAATTCAACCAGAATCGAAAGCTCTGTACTATATTAGGAAAACTGTTTACAGTTTCCGTAGCATATTGTTTTAAGAGTCTGAACTTGATACTTATTGACCAACTGCTAGATCCAAAAGGAGAACAAATGATAACTTGGCAACAACTTAAATTTCTTAGAAAGGGAACAAGCAGAGGCAGAAAAGCTAAATGGTTTAAACAAATTGAAGAGTTAATAATAGAGAACCCACATGACAGGCTTGTTAAATCACATTACAGTACAGAGGGAAACAACAGATAGTTCTTAAGAGCTCAACTGGCTAGAATTTCAGCAGATAATCGGATCAAGGAGTGAATAATTGTAAAACCACCAAAGAACGAAGAGAACTCGAAACCAGTAATAGTACAAGTAATTTCAAAAAAACAAAAGACAATTTTAGTAGAACATTAGATTTTAAATGATATACACTATACAAGAAATTTTATTCTTGAAAAATGCATAGGATGCAAATCAAACTATCAAGAAGCAATTGAATCTTGCGAGATGTAGTATCACAGAAGCGAAATCCAAGGGTCTTTATCTACCTTTGTGAAATGAAGAGGAAATAAATGGAGATTAGAGATTCCTTTAAGTTCAATTGAAGTACAATATAGAAGTAAAAAAGTAAGATTAACTGAA